AGGGCGTCGTGCAAACAGACCACCACCGTGCAGTCTTCTGGCCACGGTAAAACGCAATATCGGTCGTCCAGTCGCCTGTGTCGTGTGACTAGCGATTTCTCCCGCTGTCTGCCGCCTGTTTCTTCTGGCCTGTAAGGCAATATACCGGTCATCTGCGGGTGTGGTTCCTCGTGGACGACCACTACTAAATACCCGGATAGCTGTTCCTGTAGTTTGAAATTGTCTCCAAAGTCGTGAAACGATGCTGTGAGTAATTCCAAACTCTGAAGCCACACTTGTCACACTGCGGCCTTCCTCCAACTTCCCAATGATTCGACCTCGGGTAAAAGCATCCAGATGTCGTCTAACAGATTGATTATTCGCCATTTCTCGCTGAGGCAGCAACTCGGTGTGATTTTAACTGCTATACGGCGTGCAATCTCTTTGCCAGAAATACTGATCTTACACCGACAACATGCTTTATACTACCCAGACACTCCCCCATTACGTCTACCTGCATATCTGCGCATGTGCTACCGTACATCACCTTACTTAATCTCCTGATTGGTCTTTCTGTCCGCCTCTTCGTTCAGCTGATATGCTAATTTTTAGACTTCGTCCTTAATTTTTGCACACCAGTGTAGTTATAACTGGTTTATTAGCGTGAAAGTTTGCATACTTATTTCGATACCCTTAAGTTTTGCTAATAATACAGAGTGGTTCTAAATTATTTTTACAAGTTAAGAGGGGTGATAATACTCATCCAGATGGCAAACACTCAAATTGGTTGGCAAGGTCTCAATTATAATGCACAATGCAAACAAAAACGTAAATGAAATCCAGGTTCTGCTAGCTATTGGCGCCTGCAAGTCCCCTTCCTCTCCCTTCCAAAGCATCGCCTGAGAAATTATAATGATCCCCCCATAACACAAGACATCCTCAGGATATCCCATTTAAGTCGCAATGTCCCGGGAAGCAGTTAGGATATCCTGAGGATGTTGATTCTCAGATTTCCTGAGGACTTCTTAAGTCAACACCCTGAGGATATCCTATTCAAGTCTCAATGTCCCGGGATATATGAAGATCTCCTCAGGATGTTGATTTTCAGATATCCTGAGGACTTCGTAAACCAAGATCTTAAGGATATCCTGTTCAAGTCGTAATGACCATGGATATATGCAGATCTGCTGAGGATGTTGTTTCTCAGATATCTTCAGTACTTACTTTTTATAGAAGCTCATATCTGAAAATATTAAAGTAAAGTAACCTTGTACCACACGTAAGTCATGTTATAAGAATCGAAATCTTACTCTATGCATTACCTATTCTGCATATGAAAATTTAATTGTTATGCTTACACACTTATTTTTTTGTTGTATATGTTGGCTGTAAGCAAAACTCAAATAATATTTTCAAATTTTTGTTGTTGTTTCACAGTGCCTAGTGATCAGAGTACTTTCTTACAAATTATAGGCACGTGTTTTCAGCCGTTTTGAGTTTCAATATTCAAAATTGCGTTTAAACGGATTAAATTCTAATTGCTACATAATATATTTTGTAAACATTATTTTAGATATTTTTCTGATATCTTTGAACACAAATATTATTTACGTTACAGGTTAGCTCAGAAAACCTTTCACGAAGACATTTATCCTATGAACAGATGGGCATGATGAACATCCATGCCTTATCTGGCATTCGAACTTGAGCCCTTCTGTACGGCAATCAGTCACTAATCACTTACTCGTCTCTGAGGCACTAATCAGAAATATCAAGTTATAAAAGCATTCTATTAAATTCACCGATAGTTCTTAGCATAGAAATAACTATACTTTGAAACTGCAAAAGAAAAAAATACTTTTTGATCTCTTACAATATTATATTAGTAATAAATGATGTTTAGTGCTGTGCAGTAATAAGTAACAATAATTTTTTTTTTTTTTTTAAACAAACGAAATTTTAGTTTACGGACGCAGTTAAAAACTAGTCTGTACGAGGTTTAACTTGCTTTAATTTGAATTTATAAACAGAAGAATAATTTTATTGGGCTAAAAAATTCATTGCAGTTTCTTCGTTCATTTTCTGGTAAGTTCTTTAATGAGAATTAGTCTTTCAAAGCGACTGAGGTAAAAAGTAACTTATTTTTTACCTCTCTGTAATAGGAAAATGAGGTTTAAGAATGGCAAGAACTAACATTAAGTTCTTACTCTCTTCAAACCTCACTTTGCTACCTCTTTAACCATACAAATATTCGATCTTTGCTAAACGAAGCGCGAAAAAATATATCCAGCGCTCTATATCCTGAGGATGCAGTCTTATACGTTATGCCGGCAATGCTACATGACTCCTTATAATTTAACAATAATTACTGCTTTATTAATTTATTTGTAACATCCAGAAAATGCAGTAAACACGTTTGTTCAAGGTATATAACACAAAGTTAAATGTTGTTATGAAAACTCAAAATTAGATAACGGATTAAATAGATGTTCAAACTTTAAATTAAAATTATTTAATTTTTAAATTAAACGCGTTCTTTAAACTCAGCAGTTTTATTACTTTATTTTATACTATAAATAACAATTGAAGTTGAAAATGTGAAATCTTTGTTTCAATCATTATCATTGAGCGTAAAACTGCTTCTCAAATTTTCTTTGCTTAAACATCCCTTCACAACAAAATACGCATAATGCCCCCAACGGTTTTAATTGCTCCGTAATAGTGATATCCTTGAAGAACCCCACAAAGTGGAAAGTACACGTGCTTACTTTCTGATTACCAGAATTCAGCTATTCTGCTAAACGTTAATAGCCGTCGTTCCAAATTCTGTTTCAGTTACGAACTGACTTGCAAGCGTTACATTGAGAGAAAATGAAAGGTAGGTTTCAAAATTTTTCCTTTATTCTACAAAAATGATCAGAACTAAAAAAAATTATCTCAGATATCTAAAAGACGGATTTATAGCAGAATAAATCAATGTATATTATCGGATTCGTTAGAAGATAAAGTAGCATTTAATTATGAAAAAAGCCTGTGTCGAATTTTCGCGCTAGCAAATATTCTTTTCAAACTGTGATTCGGAATATGAACTTTTATGTCTCAAGAAGAACTGACTGATGACGGACGATTACCAAAACGATTATCCCATTTTAAGGAATATTCCAAATATGGGACTAATAAATATTCCGTTAGACTTTATGCTCCTTGTGTGCTTAGAAGTAGTACAAAAAATGATTACTATTAGGATAGGCGGAGGCACCTTACAAGCACGATTACCATATAAAAATGTTGAACTAATTTTTGTTTTAAATGACCAGTTTTTAAAGCCTTATGTATCAACTGAATTTGCAAGAAAACCAAGGCACCAATACTAAAAGAATTGAAACACTGGAAAGCTACAGAATACCGTCAATTTTTACTGTACACTAGCCCACTTTTTTTTTTTTTTTTTTTTTAAATTTAACAAAAATTTATATGATCATTTTTTACTACTTCATATTTCGATTAGACTCTTATGCAAAATACAGAATCAGATGGCAACTGATGAATACGCACAGTCTCTATTAAAACTCTTCGTAGTAAATTTTGGGCTTATTATGAAAAACAGTATATTTCTCATAATGTTCACGGCCTACTGCATATTTGCGAAGATGTAAAAATGTTTGGGCCGTTAGACAATTACAGTGCATTTAAATTTGAAAGCTATATATCTTCTATAAAAAAATTGATTAGAAAATCTTCCGCTCCATTACAGCAAATACAGAGTCGTAGCTAGGGTTTTCAGCGCCCAGGGACTACTGAAGATTTCGCGCCCCCTACTGCTTGCCAAGGATGGAAAACATTTAATTCTAAAATGTCGTAACATCAGTTTGGCGCCCCTTGGATTCTGCGCCCGGGAACAGATGCCCCCTTCTAGCTACGCCCCTGAGCAAATAGCAAGACGAACTCATGAATTGTTTAATCATATTGTAACCATGAATAATGATTCAATCAACGTAACCAACTTAAGTTCAGAATTTCAAAATTTACACACATCTGGTCCACTACTTAAAGGTTATTAAATGCTTAGTTTTATTATTGAATTTTGAATACAAATTAACTGAAATCAGAACTGAATTTGTAGAATAATTAGAATAATATATCGAAGATCGATAGAATAAAAAATCGAATCGTTCGATAGAATAATATATCGAAGAATTCAGTTTTGGACTATTGAATGGTTAAAAATTATCGAAAGATTTTTAATATTTTAAAGCAAAATTTTCTCTTATAATAATATTTTGTATTAATAATTCATTTCAAGTCTCTTGCTCAGTTTAGATATATTTACAAATTATTAAATAAATTGAAATTCAAATTAGAAAAATAAATTGTATAAATATTCTTAATATTTCTTATTTTTCCATAGTAACCACAGACTTATGTAATCGACACAGACTTATTTAATGCATTTTTCGTGGTGGGGGTCAGCTCTGTAGACCATTATTGCGATTTATAATTTAAATTTTTACGATTTATTATTCTTCAAACCATTATAGAAACAATGGTACTTTTTAAAAATTTATAAGTATCGATATTTATTCTAATTATGTATATTACTCTTGGTCGCGTCGCCGGTCACCGGTGGCACCCATGGCGCTATAGCCGAGTGCAGTCAACGTGTTAGCAGTTGAAGCTGGAATAAGCTCTTCGTATTCTTTTTCCTCAGTCGAGGGGCGGGAGTGGGAAAAAATTTGAACTTTTACACTTAACGTTAAAACAGCAAGTAAAACAAACTTAGCTTTGCATTTACAGAGTGGGCAGACAGGGTAATTGGTGTGCGTAACAGAACAGCACCATTGGATCATTTCGTCAAATAACGCCTTGGTTAAAGCACGTGTTCGCAAGCAGAGGTCCCTGCTTTGATCCACAGTCGGGTTCCACATCTTTAAAACCTTAATGATTATACTTATGATTACGTAGAAATATTTAAAACACTATAATCAATACGCTTATATAGATGATACATAAAAACTACTTACCTTGAACAGGTCCATTAAAATAGAGTTCTCTCATTATTTCCTCTTCCTAGAAAAGAAAGAAATGTTACACCATTTAATACCAACAAATAAATATGTTTAAAAAATGCTTGTAATAAAAAAATATTACTCTTGCTTACTTTTGGTCCAACTCTATAAGGAGGTGTAGAATAATACAGCTCATCTTCACCTCCTCCAGGGCATCGAACTTTTCCGCCATTAACTTTTCCATTATTCCCATTAGAAAAAGGGCACTTCGTATATTCATTTCCGGTATACGGGAAACATGCGCCGGTAGTTATTCTGGAAATTTAATTTCAAAGCGTTAAATGCTATCTCAGAAGTAATATACAGGACTACGTTTTGTCACTAGATAAATATTCTGAATTCAAGCTTAGAATTAATGTTTCTGAATATATCTTTAAACACAATATAACAGTGAGTAAGGGCATTCAGTTAGATTTTCGAAACCCAATCTAATATAACAGCACATAAAAGAGGCAGAAAGTGTTCTTAAGTTGGAAAAGTCCTTCAAAAGACTCATCTCAATGTGATAAGAGCGCCATATAAAAATAAACTGCTGGCCATTAAAACTGCAACACCAGGAAGAAGTGATCTGACGAATGTCAAAATCACATGAAAGAGAGATGTTGGTATATGCAAATGATTAGTATTTCAGTGCATTTAGACGAGGCAGGAAGGAGAAATGACATCTGAAGCTCTGCATAAAAGAAAAGCTGTGTAGTGGATTTCTCATTCGGAAAGCGCTTTATAAGGTCGGGGTTTGCTTAGAATATCGTGTTATGCCTTGAATAATAAGAAGAAATACTTACCAGTAAGTGTCGGAATTTGACAGAGGCAGGATCGTAGCCTATGAAGAATGTGAATTATCGTTAACTGTCATGCGAATATGGAATCAATGGGTTGCTGAGGGTCATACGCAACAGCATGCAGGATCTCAATGCCCTCTCATGATTAACGCCCGAGGCATATTGTGAGGTCAGCCTCACAAAACTATACAACCACATCACGAACCATAAGTCAGGAATGGGCATGTTTGCAGTTCGCCCAGTATCTGCTCGTATGGTGCGTCGAAGTCTGCAGTAACGTGTACTATCAGTAAGGAGACAATGCAGTATGGAGAGAGACGGCGGATGCTTAGATGTATATTACTTTAAGATGATGGTAAACATTTTATAGATTATAATTAAAAGGTTTTTTCGAAAAATTTATAAAAATTATTTAAAAATACAAATTTTAAAAAATAAATCATAAAAATGACCGAATTATGTTTGGATTAAAAAATGCCCGAATTATGTTTGGATTAAGCCTATATTTCGAATTCTAGAAAAAAGAATCACGTAAGCTTACTTGAAAAAAAAAAAAAAAAAAAAAAAGAAGAGAGAGAGAGAGAGAGAGAGATTAATAAGTATATATAAAATTCAATGAACAATGAAGAGCTAAAATTTTTAGAGCTAATTTTTTAGAATCTACTCGTGTGATTTTTTTCAAAACTTGGCAGTTCGGCATAATTTGAGTCGTGGAAGCGAAATATGGAAAAACACTGGCATGCCATTTCAGAAAAAGTCCGATTTTGTGTCAAAATACCTATATTATAACAATGCTATATATAAATGTAATATATATATACTAAGTCGCGCTTTCGAGACATAAAAAACGCAGTTTGAATTTCGTCAATCGACCCAGTAGAACAGGAGATATAGAACTGTCCCCCCTTTTTTTTCCTTTGCGCAGTGTACAATACTGCTATAAAATAAAATTTTGGAGATGTATAAACTCAGAACAAGGCCATGATAAAACCAAAAGTAATAAATTACGAAGTCCAAGATCTGGAATCGTCGGGACTTCGGCGATTCCGATTTTCGGAAGTTTCCGGATTTTAAACTGTAGGGTTTAATTTTCTAATAGTTATTTTTATTTTTGAACAAGCCTTTCCTTTACTTTCTCATTTTCCGTTGCCAGAATGATGTTTCAGGATTACGTTTTATGTAAATGAGGCAGAAACCAGTATTTAAGCTGAAGGGTGGCTCACTTCACTAGAAATTTTTTCGATATTTACCATCGGACAGTTAGTTCGTTCGTTTGGGCCACATTCAGAGGTTAGCGTCGCTGTGCGACGCACGCATCCTGATTTGCTCTGTAAGTATTTTTGCTTTCCCTCCTCATGGCGGCTAAAAAACCACCAGATCGATTTTGGAATAGGCATGATAGCGACAGCGATATGGATCACGACTCAGATTATTCCACCTCATCTAAGAATAGCGGAAAATTAAAACTTAGATTTTCTCCTAAAAACCTCCAGCTTAGAAACTAAATTGCAGCAGTTTAAAAGAATAAAGAAAAGTAGCGTCCCCACTACTGCGACTCCAAAAACCAAAGAATTTCGCGACACCATGGAAAAATATAAACATATTTTCCCTAACTTATTTCAAGGACTCGGAACTGAATTAGAAAAAGATCCGGGATTTCAAATACTCAGGAATGGAGCCCTAACAGAAATCTTAAATAAATCCCAAGAACGTATGATTGAACAATCGAATTTAATGGACACAGGATCAATGGACGAGAAAGCTTACGCAGAAAATGTAAAAGAACACGAAGAATTAGTGGTCTCCATCAAAGAAGTTTATAACAATTTAATAGTCCCAGAAGCAAATAATAATTCAGAACAAAATTGGTCAATTCCCTCAAAAACATGCAAACCTAATCTAAAACCCAGCGAAGAAGAAGAAATAGAACAAAATAACAGATTCGAACCTTTAAAAGATGAAGAAAATAATGAAACTACTGAAGATAAAACTAACGGTAAAACTGAAATAAAAATCCCACCTTAGTTATCACGCAAGTAGAATTAGATTGGATAGATTTACAGAAAATCGTAAGTACTAAAATTCAAAAAATGAATACGAAACCCAAATGAAAGCCAAAAAAGTTTACTTAAATACTTCCACCCAAGAGGATTACAACAGCGCCATCGAATTTCTAAAGAAATCATGCATAGAATTTCATACTTACCAACTTTACTCCAAAACTACATTTAAAGTCATTTTAAAAAATATGCCCAGAAGTATTTCCGAAACTGCAATATTTGAAGACCTAAAATATAGAAAATTTCCAGTACTAAAAGTAAAACAGTTCACAAAGAGAATGGAAAGCGATATCATAAAATTACCCATCTACTTCATTGAACTTGAAAGGAATAAATTAGAAGAAGCGATTTTCAACTTAAATAATATTTTTAACTTCAACATCACTATTGAGAAATATGCACCTAAAACTAAAAGACCGATACAATGCTGCTTCAAATGTCAGAGCTATGAACATCCACAAGCGAATTGCTATAAAAAAGAAATATGCTGTAAATGTTCCCAGAATCACCGATCTAATACATGCTCTTTAAAACGTGAAGAAAAACCCATCTGCTATTTTTGCCGTGGAGAACACGTATCGTCATACCGTGGTTGCCCGATTTATAAAAAGCGTTTTCAAACTCCTAAACCTGCAGAGAAAACCCAAGAAATTCCCAATCTTAAAGATTTCCCAGCACTCGCATCTAAATCTGAAACTGAAATTAAAGAAATTCAAAGGAACATCCCATTCAGCGCCGTCTTTAAACAACAGAAGATCCCAGTAGAAAATGATAATCCAATATCCCAAGTTTTTTCAAATCCTAAAGTGTTCAAATTCATTCAAGATATGAACGACGTTGCAGTTAATATCAAATCCGCAAAATCCAGTACAGAAAAACTTTCTATCGCTTTCTTAGCAATGAAGATTGCTCTTGATTTCGCAGAAGAGGAAAACTAAGTTCTGAATTTTATTTCTTGTTACTTCCTGACACTCCAATAGATGGCGACACCCAAGCGACGTTGTTTCTACCAGAAACTTTCCACTTTAAATTACTAAAGTGGATTCATTTCACACTAAGACGTACCCCGCAGGGTAAATAACTTCTGAGTCAAAGTCCCCAGGACTATATACTCATTGTTACTTCAATTCAATTCAAAACTTCACTAGAAGAGTGTAGGTGAGTGTGTTCTGCATTTCGGCCACCTTGTTGCTTGCTAGTCTAATCTTAAGTGTTATTCGGTCGTACTGTTACATGCCTGTTAGTAAACGCCAGTGATCTTAAATAGAGACCAAAATTCTGTGTAGCTTTGGCTGGTTTATATTAGTTAGCATTAGATTACTTACATATTTTTTATTTTGAGTTAAAGCCCAAGTGCAGATTTATTGTAAGCCCGAGAAGGTGCCATCTATTCATTTACTTTGAGATGAAATAAAGGTAATTTAACACTTCTTTGGACATCTTACTTGCAAGAATTCCCTCCCGGGGGTCAACGTAGAGAATTCTGCGAAGCTACTGGCTAGGATCTGTACCTAGGCAGTCTTTGCCACGGGGGTATAAAATTTATGAACTTGGTGGTTCTGAAGGCCGCGGGAAAGGTCACTCTCGTCGGCCGGCCTCGGGGTCTGGCATGTCCTGAGCGGTTGGATCCGTAGCCGGGGGCTTTTCCCCCGGTTTGCTAGGTAACGGTCTTCTGCGACGGGCAGGAGCAATTGACGACCTGTGCGCGTAATGGCAAACCGCACATTGAGTTGATCAATGTTAAAGAATTTCGCTTACTGCGCATGCTCAATCGTGTACCGTTGGCGTGGGATCAAATTCTGGCGACTAAGCATAAGCAACCCTACACAAGCCTGTTTGTCATATTTGATTTACTGTTTACAATTTAAATACTCCGGAAATTTGTGTGTGCTTATTGCGTGTGCTCTTGTTTCATTTCATTTTGGCTTATTTTATTCATAAACATTACATTTAATATCAGTTATTCGACTTTAATTCTGTAATTTAAGCTGAATTTATTCCTTAATTTGTTAAAGTATATAGAAATGGAACGTATGATAAATACTCAATTACTTTTATTCCTCAGAATTATAATCAATAAGCATTCGGCTAATATATTTTGTAATCTTTCCTGTTTTGTTATCCTTTTTAAACTAAAATTTGCGTAGTATACAATCGATAGTTACATTCTATGTAATGAAGCAACTTACAACCTAACAAGTTTTAAAACCCCGAACTGTTTAACACCCAGATAACACAATATCAACCATATACCGTATTTATCTTCTTTAAGAATTGCGCCAAAGTTGCAATTGCACCAAATTATATTCTGGGCATGCGCAGTAAGCGAAATTCGCCTAACATTGATCAACTCAATGTGCGGTTTGGCATTACGCGACCTGTGCCGCCTGGTGTTTTATCCAAGTGGTGCGCTGTTCCCCTGGAAGGGTAATAGTGGAGGTTCCCCACGAAGTGCCCAAAGGGGGAGTGGACCTGTAGTGTGAGAGAGTTCACAGAGCAGGGAATGCCCAAATCTTGTTGTTGTTACTTGCAAGAACTCAGCGAGTCGCTACACACTTCTTCAGTATTCTAGCTCTTAAGGAAATCCAATCAAGCTACGATGTTACAGGATCATCACTTTAAATCTAGTAAAATGACATGTCAACTTCAGCAGGACTTAGGAGCGGTAACATTTTAGAATTTATATAGCTACCAGGCAGCAAAATTGCAGAGACTGCACTGGGCAAAAAGCTTAAAGCCGGCCTTGTAATCCCCACAACCAGGGCCTGACTTAGCCTAACTGGGGCGCGGGGCAAAAACGTTTTTGGGCCCTCCCCTCTCTGCTTCACTACTTCAGTAGTAATCAACCGAACTTTATAGAGGTGTTTAAATTTTTATAATAATACACTTTGTATTCGATTTGGGGCCCCCTTGGGGCTCTGCCCACAACCACTCAAAGGTCGAAAGTATGATCCTCACCAACATCACTACAACTTCAATCAATGTATTGTAATTGGCTAGGTGTGACGCCCTAATCAGCAGCTGTTTGACAATGGCATGCCGGGATCTCAGTTGGGAGAGGAATCGCATTTATGGCACACCTATTGAGTATTATATTCTCCATTCCAGGATTTTATTAGGATAGATTTTTTTATTATTTTATTTCGTTTTTGGCTACTGGCCCTGAAATTCGGATATTGGATGACCCAGATTTCAGACCTTTTTACTGTATATGACTTCGGATCTTTAATTTCTTGAGTTTTCAACATGTATTATAGAATTAATTATCTATGTTCCGAAACATCTTACAGACAATTTTACTCAACAAACTTCATAAAATGCAAATTTATTATACATGCATCAATCAAATAACTTAAAACATGTTTCAATTCATTTTCAGGATTTTGTTATTAAGATGAGCAAACTGGGAAAAAAGGGGAAGGAAACTATTAAATTTAATTTCACGTTCGAAAATATAATAAAGAATAGTCTACTGAATAGCTCTGTTTGAAAGAAATATAAGCAATGAAATTATTACCCTTTTTTCCTAAGAAAGTACCACGCTTTGTCCAGATGGCCCCCATGACAAGCTCTTTGTCCTCTCTTTTGACAAGACAGAAGATGCTGAGGTGATAATTCCATTCGCTCCATCCCCAGAGATTCGATAGCAAGACGATCGGACGCTAATGCTAATGATAGAAATGAGGTAATATATGTTTATAAATATATTAAATATAATACGGAATAAATGTTTATAAATTTTATTAATAGAAAACAATTTAATATCGCAAAAGTGTACTTTAAACTATCAGAATGTTTGCCTGTATTTTCAAAATGTTCAATGTGTTTCTATGACAATTTTTTGCGGTACCCCTATTGTTTGTCAGGACGCGGTGGGGGTACATCCCACCCCAATAGAACTTTAAAAAAAATTACAATTCAAAATAGCATTTTATGCACTTAATTTTGTTCTTTAAATTTAAGTAAGTCCTAGACGGTAAACATGGGGTTACGAACGTAGGCGCTGCATGCGGATCAACCAATGAAATATAAAATTTCAAGGACTATGAAGCAAGAAAAGGCATAGGTGATTAATCAAAACACACTTTTAAAAATTTATAGCTTTCTGTACATTTTTATTTTTATTGCAAACACTTTGTTGAAAAACAATTATTAATATGTACTTGATGTATGTGAGACGTGAAATCTTGAATGTTCGTTTGTAATTTTTTTATCCAAATTTAGGTAGCTACCGTCCTTTTTAGGAAAGGACAGTCCTTTAATCAGCTTACCTACCCTTTCCTTTTTGAGCTCATAAAAAATGTCAGATATCTTTTATTTCAAAATTGAAAAATTTTTGCGTCTCAATGATGACATTTAGCGCCCTTATTTGAACAACTAGCACAAGGAGGTTAAAGCTCAAGAAAAAGAAAAAGGGAAAAAAAAAATGTTCTCAGAAATATGATTGATCAAATCACAATTGTTTCCAGGATCAACTTTTGACTTCCTTAAATTCAGAAGTTTTCAGGAATAATCTTTTACTTCTTTTTCAAGAATTTGTTTTCTGTTTATTTTCTTATTTCGATTACTTTAAAAACATTTCTCTATATTTCGTTTGAGATTTCTTTCTTCCAAGTAATCAGTGCTTTTGCTACATCATTAAAAATGTATATGAATCCCATCATGGTACACTTTAGACTCAAATTTTATAGATTATGGATCTAAAAAACAGTGTAATGACTTTTGTGGGTTGATAAAATGCCTCACACTATTTTATTACCTTTTAATTGTCCACAAGACTTCCAACTGATATATCTAACTAACAAACATTTCGGAATCGTATCAACAAGTTATTCAGGACTCAAAAAATAGTGTTTTCCCTATACCACAGCCTGTATTTTAACGAACACAGGGTTATAAAATTGACGATCACATAACTTTAAGGGATAACAGAATATAGCAAATGTAATGATTACCGCGGTATAATCTATGGTAGAATGTCATCACACGAAAAAATAAGTACAAAAAGCATGGAAAATGAAAAGTTGTTTTAATCATGAATATTTATAAGAAACGGTGTTTGATATTTAAATGAATTATTCAAATGAACGACCAGAAACTATACATGCATCAGAATGGCACTAAGAATCTCATTTAAAACTCTCAGATTGACTCTACTGAAGATCTTATCATCAAAATTAGAGTCGTTGTTGCAGTATGTTGAGTACGCTGAATTAGAGTTGTTGCTGCATATGTCGGGCAGCTTCCTAAGTGTGCATTAATCATTTCATTGTCGATGCGATGCATGTATTGCAGTTGATTAGTTGCTCATTATACCATATACTGGTTCCATTTCACCACACATTGTAGTACCAGATGTGTCACTTTTACCATGTACTGTCATGTCTTCTCTTAAAGTTGGGACCATAAATCTGTTACATCTTATTTTTACTTTTGATACATCCAATAAAGGAGAAAATTATCCTTTTAAAAGAGAAAGATGGCTGAAGGAATGAGAATAATTTTGCCTCAGTTATATATACTGTTTTCTATTATTCTTTTAAAAGAGAAGGATAGCTAAAAAAAGAAAGAATATTTTTGCCTCAATTATATGTACTGTTTTCACATACTTACGATAAATACAATTTATTAATCCTACCAGTAGTGGAGAAAGCCCAAGATGCTGCGCAATCTCCTTGATCCCGGATTGGTGTGATGAGATTCCTCCACTTCTGACGTGCATCAAATGTTGGAGGTAACGGTCCTTTCATAATCTGATGAATTTCTGTCATTTCCATTGTCTAAGGATAAAAAAAATCAATTATCTATATACCAACGCCTATCATAAGTAATAATATTAGCAAATGAACATCCATGAGGGTGCATATACTACTAAAATAAGGACAATATAATAATGAACTAGAGACAAGACTTAACGTTAAGATGCGCTGAAAAGGTTTTTCTCGACATTCCTATATTTAAAATACGTGGCAATTTTATCTGACATTATACGTCACGTTTATTCTACTGGCTAAAATTCTCTAACTACTTTATACACTATGACTGAGTAATCAATCTAGAATGTGTGTAAGTGAAAACTAGGAAAATGAATACTGGCTTCCTAGAGCTCTATCAGAATATTTAAATTCTGATAGTTGAATTCTTCAGTATTCACAGAGAACAACAGGCAATATTCTGTGCCACATTTTATATATCCCGCATTTTTTGAAAATATAAATCAAAGCACGTATTCTGTCATTTGTGAATTACTAATACAACTGAGATTTCGCAAGAATTTAAGACGACGTTTTCTAAAAGTTGATAATAAAAATGAGTTTAATTTAAAAAATAGGAAGCTGATTAAGTACTGATTCGAAAACGTTTTTTTCGACACTTCTTTATTTCAAGAATATGACTGACAATTTCATTTAACATTATTCATTGTATTCATTGATTCGCCGATATTCATTCCAACTTTTGCAGCGCCGTTTAAAAAATATTGCTCTTCCTCAACAGAAGAACTATGGTTTCACCATTATTCTTTTGAAACAGAAAAGCAGTCTAACGTTCGCTATTTAAGGTCCGTTATTCTATTCCGAAGTCTGCTAACTGAGTATGGGCGGCGATGGAACTGCCCTCAGTTTTCGAACTGCCCTCATTTAATATTTACACGTTTGAGAAAATTAAATACAGTGCAAATTCTTCTGTTTTTCATAAATATTTCTATATCTCCATAGAATTAGTTTAAACTAAAATTTATTTTGCCAGAAATTACTAACTACTTGGTACAAGATTTCTGTGTAATTAAGAACTTTCAGCAAGCTAACTTAATTTTTTAAATAGATATTTGTTTTCTAGAAACAGCACGAAAATCATCAACAGAATATTTAATGATCTCTCTTACCGGTCTTATAGGTTTGAAAGTACCAAGGCGGTGCTTGATTCCGTCATTCAGGGTTTTGCCCCAAAATATAGAATAATTGCTAGCTTTCCATCTGGAATCAAGGAGAACAAATAAATACAAAAATGAAACATATATATATATATGTGTGTGTGTGTGTAAAATACAAAATATCTATCTTTCAAAATCTTTCAAATAACAAATTAATAATAGCACTTTAACTCCTGTCTTCATTCTAAAAATAACAGAGCAATAATTTTTCTAACTAAACGAAAAAGATCCGTCATCTAATCTGTATTGCGCACTTATCGATGAAATCTGAACTGGACATTAATCTGTCATGCGATCCGAAATGGAATTCGTTATAAAAGGTTAATCACGTCGCCTCCTCTTCTCTCTTCATTTCTGCTTCTAAGACGCTTTTAGAACCAATTTTTCACAAAGACCAAAAATTAAAATTCATAAGTAAATTATATATATGATATATATATATATATATATATATAGGGTGCGGAAGTGTTCATAGCGTAATTTGACTTGCGTAGTACAATGACGTACTGCATGAATGCGCGCCAGCTCGTGCCGCATTCTTGTACTAATGAGCTGCCGTTTCGACTGTGACAGTGATATGGATCGGTGGAGTGCACAGCATCGTGCCTTTGTTGTTGAAAGTTATTTCAAGAATAAATACTCTGTTATTGCTACCTACGTTTATTTCGGCAACATTTCAACTTGGGACGTCATGGGAAAGTTCTACATGGACGGACCATTGCGACAGACAGTTCCAGGTGGAGTAATTTCCCGTTTTGGTGACATTTCCTGGCCTCCTCGCTCACCTGATCTTTCTCATGTGCAGACCTTTTCCTTTGGGGCCACCTGAAGCAAGTCGTTTTCCGAACACGTTGTGCCACCATTCCTGAGTTGAAGGATCGCATCAGGACTGCCTTTGGCGATGTTCCAGGGAATACTTTACGCCGAGTTATGGCAAGCTTTCAACGCCGCCTAGATGAATGTGTTGTGCAGAGGGGGGGCATCATTTGACAGGCATCATATTCAAAAAGTAATCCAAACAATGGACAATGACTTACACATTAGTAAATGGCACACCTTTAACTATTAATTAACATAAGAGGTAATAAATAAATTATAATTACTGCCTTATGGTGTGTTTTTAATATCCTACTATAAACGCTGCCGCACCCTGTATATGTAATATAAAAATAAGGTAAATCCAAAATTATAATTTAAACTCTCGGTAACCTCTTATTTCCCCCTCTCTATTCTAAAAATCGTAATAATAGCTTTTTTGGACTGCATCTTCGAGGGCTATCTGCTTAAGGGGACTCATTCACCTTAAAACCCATAAGATCTTCGAATATGTGACTGTGGCAAGAATTAGGATAACTTATTTATTTTAAAAGCAATTACTTCCAACTTTTTATAGCTGCTTTCTGAAATAATCAGAAAGTTTGTGTTGCCACAAATATTTTTATAATTTTCCCGCTTTGTGACAAAATTTTTCGTCATGTTTCCACCTTGCGAGCACAGTTTAAAACATTCTGTTGCATAATTTAATTCCATATTTAATATTTAGCTTTTATAACATTTGGAAACTACTGTGAACCAAAAGTTCTAAGAATTTCATATTAAATTTTTATTTCATTTGGAGTTGAGTTTAAAAAAATGTATTTTATTAAAAAAAATCTGTAATGTTTTCGTGCATAAAATTTTTTAATATTAAAATATTCATCAGATTTTTGGTTCAGTTAGAAAATAGTGTCTATATAAAGAATTACATCAAATTTCAAGTATGTACCATTAGCCATTTTTAAAATATCATGCACGCAAGGTGGTAATGTCACGAAAAATTTTGTCACAAAGCGGATTAAATTACAAAAATATTTGTGGCAACACAAACCTTCTGGTTACTAGTTTCCAAAGCAGCTATATTATGTAGTGAGCTGTAAAAAGTTGGAAGTAATTGCTTTTAAAATAAACAAAATATCTTAATTCTTGCAACAGTCACATATTCGAAGATCAAAAGGGGTTTAAGGTGTATGAGCCCCCTTAAGGGAAGGGATGCCTTCGTGGAGGACTTTTTAAAGGATATCCGCTCGTATGCACATTACAGACAAGGAAAGCCACGAAAACGACCATGCAGCCAGCCCGTTCGCGGAATTCGAACATCGGACCGAACTACCAGTGTTCAGCGACTTTACTGCTTGGCCCGCTGGTGGGCCGCATAACGCTGTTGACATCTATCTCGGAACCCGAATTCAGAATTTCGAGAAATGAAACCTTTCTAATCTAAACCAAAACCTTCTCTTGGTGAGCCTCCATATTGAAGAATAGCGTACTTTTAGTTTCAGCTCTCCTGCAGTCAAGATGCTATTTCGCTCCGTTTGCTTTGTCGTGCCGGTAACTATGCCATGATCTAAAATGTGATACTATATATAAAATTGAGGGGTGCGTATTGCGCCCATTATCATGTATGATGAAGGATATCTTTTTGATAATTAGTTCTCATTCATCAATAACAGTTATAGTCAATTCGAACTCGTCTGTCTACAAGTTTTTCCTTCGAGTGTCACCTTTCTAACTACGCAGTAAAGTATCCCTAGGATATAACGCAGAGAACCATCATCAATCTGTTGCAGCTTAATCTAAGTTATCTAATTACGTCTTTCTTGTTAAAAACCAATGTACAGTGCAGGGGGGGGATCGAAATATGGAAAAACATTTGCATGTCATTTCAGAAAAAGGTCCCATTTTGTGTCAAAATACCTATATTAGAACAATGCTACAAAGAAATCTAATATATATCCTGAGTCGCGCTTTCGAGACATGAAAAACGCAATTTGAATTTCGTCAATCGGCCTAGTAGAACGGAAGATACTGAACAGTCTCTCTCTCTCTTTTTCGCGTACATAGAAATTTATCATATTTAATTATGATTGAATAGGTGTCTGCCAGGGTAAATTGGATATGTGTGAAAATAAAGACAGGTGATTTGTCGAAATTCGGTTTTGCTGCCTTCATCTGTATGCTTTGACCACGGCCATCACGGACATTGAGAGTTCCAGCGTTCGACTGCGCATCCCAAACCATTACACACACACACACACACATATATATAATTATAAAACAAAATATAAAAATTTTTTTAAACAAAATATAATCATGTCTAGAATTTTCGCGCATTAAGCTGCTGAAAAATTATCAGTAAAGACATAAACTAAGAAATTTAGAACCAATTTTTCACAAAGACCAGAAATTGAAATTCATAAGTAATAAAATTTCAAATAATCCTATAAATGCAATAAAGAATTTAATAAATGTTAAAACCAAAACTTTTCAAACAAGCAATACCCCAATTCAAAAAATCAATGAAAGTTAAAGAAAAAAGAACATGAGGAATTCAATCAACCTTCAATGGCACTTCGTCAGGAGGAGGAACACTGAAATCAACTGAAATCTCTCTTCCACAAAAATCCTTGCTTTTCTGTATCCCAGTTAGCCAATGAATCATTTCAAAGTATTTTAATTATAATAGTTCACTTGAAAATTCTGGCTCCTCTTATTCAAAGACTAGAAAACGTAAGTGAAATATAAAAATACTTTAGTGAAAAATTCAAATCAAAATTTTATCTTTAAACTAAGAGCACATAATCCAAAGAATTTAAAATGTAAGTGAAAAGACTTGAATAAAAAGTCACAAGAAGTAATTAAAAACTTCGAGCACTTTCATTTTGAACACATTCGAAACTATGAATAAGATCATTATAGTAGTGACGTTTTAGGTTTGCCATTTTGGCTTCATTTGTGAAATTAAAATACTGCGGCGAAAAGTCAAAAGGCTAAAAATTGGAACAAAAGATAGAGTTTTGAAACCAAACGAAAAACTTTCTAATACTTCTATTAAAATTTCAATTTTGAAAAAGAAAGTACTAATTACTAATTAAAATGAAATTTATGTGAATTCTGACCGCTCTTTTTTAACAACAAAAAGGGCTTTTCTTTAGAAAAAAGAAATAAGTTACAAAGATGAGTTGAGTATGAACTTAGCATTGGAATTCCTTGTGTTTGTAGGTGAAGAAATGTTGAATGTTTAATATAGTTATTATTTAGTCAAAAATGTAGAAATTCATTTCATCTTGTAAATCCATAATATTAAATATTTCACGGAAAAAATTTGTCATTTCTAAAAGACTTTCGTAGATTTCTTTGATGGTGAAGACGTGTAGAGGTTTCAAGTCATAGCAGTTAATATTGTAAATTTTAAGATTTAACGTCTTCAGTGACTTTCAAGTTGTCGTAAATAATCCAGCAGAAGTTTTTGTCAGCTTGTTTGTATATTACAAACATTTTTAAATAGATTGGTAAAAATATTATCAAAATTCTTCTTGAAATTTCTAGTACTACTGGCTATAAATTTAAATTTCACAAGATTGTTACGAAATTTTGGTAAGGTACAAAGATTGGAAAATCTTTTATTTGTAGTTAAAAGAGAAATTCTCCGTATTTTGCGAAACTGAAATTTTATTAATAACATTTCTTTCTTTATTTTTGTAGACGCTATAGTTAGAAGAATTTTTCAGTTCATTTTCAAAAATTGAATTGTAGGATTCTTTCCCTAAAATACTGAAATTATTGTTTGCTTTATCAATTTTGATTATGGTTAATTGTTTTTTTTAATTGTGAAAACTTCAAAAGAAAATTTTCCAGTTATTAATTAATTCCTTTAAATCCTTGAATTTGCTTTAAATCCTTGAATCTTTGAGTAATAATCTCATTCTTACATTCTTTAAATAGATGCGAAGATAAATATAGTTGAGAACTTACTTTCAAGATAAAATTACCAATATCTTTAGAAATAGATTCTATACAATGTAATTTTTAATGAATTTAATAGGTCAAAATTTCGTTCTTTTTTTCATAAACAGTTTAATCTCACGATCTTGCATAATGTCCAGATTTCCTGTTGTAATACGCTTGTGCTCTTCGTCAACAAATCGTAAAAAATTTTCTTCATTATAAAATCATACAGGTAAAATTTTGATTTTAATTTTTCACTAAAGTATATTATTATTTCAC